TCTGAAGTTTCCATTCCGAGAAGATCCGAAAGATTGCGGTCAAGACCACCACTGGACTATAAACATCCACACGCTCATTCAGGATGTGGCGGATGTGATGAACATGACTGATTCTCTATTCATTATTCTCTTGTTTTAATATTCTATATGCTGTACATATACGCCAATTCGAATACATACGTGCTACTTTTTGCGCTGATCTAAATTCTGGATTTCTAGTTCGTCTGGTTATTCCGATATACGCACGAAACTTAATGTTCTCACCTTCTCTTGTATAGGTGATATTTGCGCGTGATTAGTTCGACGTTGACTCATTCAATTGGGGACAGTCCGGCCGGAAACGACGGCCATCAGGCTACTAATATCGTTTTAGGCAAGTATTATGCGACTCGAATCCACTCGAATCCACAGGCCGCAGCAAGAAGAGTGAAAGAGGCATGAGTGGCGGGCTCGAGGTGGTCGGTTCCAGCGGTGTCGTGCCATCGGTCATTCAGCTAAGCACACACTGACATGCCAACAGATCCACCGCTACGTACACAGGATCGAATCTCTCGCTTCTCTGACAGCTTTTTGCGTAGGGTTTATTCTTTTCGTTCAGCGGCATGGGTTCACCCGAAAGGCACAAGCGAACAAATTGTGCAGCACTGCGGAGCAGTGGGGGAGTAATCTCATCAGTGGAAAGACTCACATGGGTAATCGTCTAGATCCACTTAGAATTGATTACTATATGTAGCATGAACATCAGTCCGGGGGAATTATTCTAAGTACCAACAACCCGAGATTGAAGAAAATCTCCTCAACATGTCCCGACCATGTGTCAGTTGGGTCAACAATGAAAACCTGTCCGACAAACTTTGTTCAAACAGGTCATAAGTAAGTAATGAGCCTCGCGGGGGGCGTTGGTACCCCAGAGGGACAGATCAAGCTGCACGATATGCGTTTCCTAATCAACGGATTTGAGCTCGGTAGCCATTTTCTACTTGCTCTTTGGACACGCTTTGAACTGTTTGACGTAGCGCATGTGTTCGTGAAGTCGTAGAATAGTAGGCAGCTCCGGTTTTCCTGTTCACATCGTATCCTTCAGCAGAGACAGAGGCTGTCT